GTTTCCCCAGCCGCAGGCCTGACATCGGGCCTGAGCTGCAGGGAAATGAACGGGGGCGACTGAAGCCTTCCCCCCGAAGTGAGCAGGACCCGCAGCCTCCACCTGTCTTCCACTTCCATTTCTCCAAAGTCCGTGGTGCAGTCATCTATACTCAGCCGGTGAGGCCCGCCCCGCAGCTGGATTTTGCCGCACACGTTGATGCTCACGGTCACTTCCACTGAGGATATCCTGGGGCATGGGGAGGGGGGGAGAGAGAAAAAAGAAGAGTACAAGAACACCTGTGAGCCCCCCACTTGGATCCCAGGCCGCAGATTTGAACCACCACCAGGAGCCCGGGAGCATTTTATTCAAAGGCATAAAGGAATAAAATGGGCTCGTCTGAAAAGATGCTACCAGATTCCAGATGTCAAGATAACAGAGACTGAATGTGGCTGTCCTCCTACAATGTCTACATCAGTGTTTCTCAACCGGAATAAAATGGGCTCGTCTGAAAAGATGCTACCAGATTCCAGATGTCAAGATAACAGAGACTGAATGTGGCTGTCCTCCTACAATGTCTACATCAGTGTTTCTCAACCTTGGCCGCTTGAAGATGGGTGGACCTCAACTCCCAGAATTCCCCAGCCAGCCTTGCTGGGAGTTGAGGTCCACCCATCTTCAAGCGGCCAAGGTTGAGAAACACTGGTCTCCACGGTCAGCAAAAGCTTTTACGGAGCTCCTGTTTCACCTGCAGCAGATGAGAAAAGGACTTCTTTATCATGACAGCCCTTCCTAATCGCCACCCTGTTGCCTTCATCCCAGTTCCCTTGTCCGGAGGAGGGAAGGGGGCTAGCCACATTGCAAGGTTATATTCTGACATTTTCTCCCCATCTCATCCCGCCCCTCTGCAGGATCTTTGGGAATCAGTTTGGGAAACGTGGATCTAAAAAGCCAGATCGTAAATCCAATGCATCGTTCAATTGCAGCAGATGCCACGCAACGGGCTAGACCTAGGCTATAACAGGAGCAAAGGGGTCAAGGCAGGGTCAAAAACTATGGCCGCTTTGAGGGTGCGGTCATGGCCACCATCTTGATGTTTTTGACCCCCCTCCCCTGGATGACTCTGCTTTGACCCTCAGCATTTCTTTTCAGCCAGTGCCTCAGAGTGGACTTTCCAAGCTACCAAGGTCCAAAAGCCTGTCCTTGTTCCACAACTCCTGAGTAAATGGCAGGTGCTTTGGGGAGCAGGAGAGGACCAAGGGTCCAGCCACAGAGGGACCAGCTTGTAGACGGGGGGTGTCTGCTGGGTGTGGTCAAAAACCTCAAGATGGCGGGGCCAAAGCACAGAAGAAACAGGTGGAACTTCAATCACACGTGTGTGGCCACCACCTTGACGTTGTGGACCACACCCAGCAGATGCCCCTGCTTGCAGGGCAAAGCTGCACAGGTGACAACAGCGGTTCCCGATCCAAGCTGAACAGGATCCGCGCCCCGTGATCGCAGGCACAGGAGAGGACACGCACGTCAGATAACGGACACGAAGCGCTTTGCAAACGGATATTCTCAGGCCCCAGCTCGGCACCAGGGTCAACTCTGGGTTTTCCACAGTGGGAACTCCGATGATGATGACCCTGCAGAAGCAGAAGATGGGAGTTCAGAGTCAAGCCCGCTCAGCGCCCTTCCTTCCCAGCCCTGTCCCCATCTCCCCACTGCTGACTCAGCACTGGGGATCCCCAGATTGGCTCCAGGGACAAAGGGGAGCCCTGAAGAAGTTGTGTCTGACCCAAAGTGTTTGGAGGCAGCCCAAAACATGGAGGGAAGGGGGCAACAGGCCACTAAGCAGGCATCTGGTGGGGACAGGAGACAAACTCAGCAGGTTTTCATTAGTTAACACCAACCAAAATAACATCATGTTCATAAAATGGTTCTCCCACCATATATTTCATCGTTTCCCATATTGTCACAATGTCACAAGGCGCTTGAAGTCATTGTGGCTGGTATCAGATAGGCCATGACATGGTTCAGTGTTTTTCAACCTTGGCGACTTTAAGATGTTTGGACTTCAACTCCCAGAATTCCCCCGCTAGCATGCTGGTGGGGGAATTCTGGGAGTTGAAGTCCACCCATCTTAAAATTGACAAGTTTGAAAAACACTGCTTTAGATTGTCCATTTTTGCCTTAGGAAGTGATAAGTTGCTGAAGCCCCCCTATGGGGGACTTCTGCCCCCAAGATAATAGAGAGATGTAAAAAAAAAAATGCAAAAGGTAGGTAAGAGAGCACAAGGGCAGGCGGAGAAGGCAGAAGGAGAGATGGGATGTAAGAAATAGTGCACACGTGGGCATGTAGAAGGTGCGCCTGGAGAGGTAAGCCGAGCCGGGTGAAACATGTTGATGTGCAGGCAGCTCTGAATTTTGCAATGCTCTTTGTGGCTCAAAAATACAAATACACGTCTTTAAATATGCATTTCAAAATAAAGCCACTGGCTTGGGGCTAATCTCAAAAAGCTGACTTGATTAATGTTTGGATGGGGTACCACCAGGAAATTCCACAGTTGGTCTTAACTGGAAAGTCAAGAACGACATTGCGAAGGAAGGGATAGTCTGCCCTTCTTGACAGCTGCCCCCCAGATTAAACACGGGTGTCCATTTCAGCGGGGCTCCGTGCAGACTTTCCCTTTACGTGGTGAGAACAACACACCTCATCCAAACACGCTACGGAAACAGGAGTTTCAAGACACGTGTGGGACAAGGCAGGTAGATAAGGGAACATCTGCAAAAGCAGCCTCGGCTGGAAACAGGCTGAGCTGCCCACTCCCGCTGAAAACCCTTGATTAATTGACCAACCGTTCTATAAAACTGCTGATAGTCCCAATTTAGGGGCAACTGGCGTCACGTGTTCCAGATAGAGATATTGCTGTGTTGCTGGAAGAAACATCCAGAGGGATGGGAATAGGGTCAAAAAAGTCATTGTAGCTGCCATCCTGACTTTCTTGATCCTACCCTGCAGACATCCTCGACTGAGAAGAAGAATTCTCTTCCTCTTACGGGACTTTGGCATCTTGGTGGCTTCGGAGGGCAGGGGCAGGCACCATCCAGACCAGTATCTTGCCCTCTTCTTCGGTCCCTTTTATAAACCCCATGAAATTCAAGTGAAAGATCCTCCCCATTTCAAAATGTATCCCATGCAGAAAAGCCCTCTGCCCCTTCTGCTTCTCCCCTTTTTCTTGGGCGGGCAGGCAGGGTGGTACTCACTGCAGAAGGCGTCCAGACAGATATAAGGGAGGCAACTCCGTCAGGTAGTTCTCTAGTCCATCCTGCAAAGGTTCCTTGGAGGACAGGTAAACTGGAAGGAGGCAGAGAGTCAGACAACCATCAGCATCATCTCGGGCAGGAGCAGGTTCATCAGACGCGTCCTGGAGTTGGGAGGGGACAGCTACCCCCCTTGCCCTCCTCTTTGGCCTTCAGCATTAGGAAAAGAACAAGCTGACATGGGTGTGAATTGGCTGCAAGCCTGCAGACATCATGGCTGGCACGCAAGTACAAGATCTGGGGAATGAAGCTATGGGAAAGAACCAGAGGTCCACCGTGAAGATCACTGTAGGAGAGGAGGGATCACTCCGGCGAGACAAAGCTGAACTCTATCAATAAGGGAGCAGAAGCCAGCCTTGCGTCCGAGCCACCAAATTCCCTTACATTTATCCAACCCGCCTTTGGAGATGATGCATCCGCTGTTGGCCAAGGTGCCGTGGTGGGAAACAAAACTGATCAGGACACTCAGAAGGAAGAGCATGGCCATGCTGGCATCTGCCACAACCTGGAGACAGAAAGACAGAAGAAAGAAGTCCTTGATTTCTTTCGCGGGGCCTCCGAGGATGAAGGTCCAAGTCTGAAGGTGGAAGGTGGGCAGAGAAGAGGAGGCCTTCAAGCAGGACACTCAGGTTCAGGGTACGGGCAAGAAAGTCAAGATGGCAGCCGCTACAGTGCAGTTGAAGCTCTGCCTCAGATGTGTGACAGACAGATCTTTGATTAACCTGTCCCAGCTGCCATCTTGACTTTTTGCTGTATCCTGCAGACACCCCTGCAGATTGGAAGAAGAACAGGGTGTGCCTTGATGGGCACATTTCAAGCACCAGGAGCAAAGCAGCTAAAGGAACTGAGAAGGAGGTTGGCAGCATCGCCCACACGATGCCAAGAGGCAGCAATCCATCAGCCTTCGGTGGGTCAAGCAGGACTTTCAGCTCCTTTGTTCAAACTGGCGGTGGGCAGGTTCAAGGGTGGGAATGGGAGTGCTCTACCTCCCAGCGGCCCTCTTGCAACGGTCACCTTGCATTTTAAAGTTCAAATTGTGCCCCAAATTACCACCACCACATGGCAGGAACAGGCCCTCGGTGCTCTTCAGGGACCACAGATCTGGGAGCCCCTGGCCTGCCCGCCTCTGGCTTAAGGACTACATTTAAAGCTCTCAGCACCCCAGTTTGGCCAGCGAGAGACCCCTACTCACTCACGGGTTGCCTGAGTTTAAGGCAACCTTATTCGCTTGCTTCATACAACACCATGAACCCAGGTTAACAAAACACAGCAGCTGTGTTCACATAACCTGCTTTGCTCAGATAAGTAAGCCAGTTACGGCTTAACGCAATGGCCTGGTTGCACCTGCTAAGGCAACGTTGGGGTTCTCACAACACATTGAATCACAAACCACCCAACTCCCTTCTTGACTAGTCTGGGTTCTTCTGCAACTCCATCCAAGACGTTTCCCGGGTGTGCCTATCAAGGCAACTTAAGAGGCAGCAAATGCGTCTTTGCATTCCGAGTGTGTCACGGCCACCCTATTGTGCAGGTCCTTGTCATGATCGAATGGTCCTTCAGCTACCTTGCAGCTGAATCAAGGGAGGAATCCGAGCCTGGATTAAGTGGTCCCCATCTTCCGCCAGTTCTGAGCCTTGGGGGGAAAGAAGCTCCCTTCTGCTAACCACCATGTCACCCCATCTCCCCCCAGAGTGGGGAGACCCCTTACCTCCTGCAGCCGCCGTTTGATCTGGAACAGACGGTCAGTGGCCGTCTTCCCAGCCCTCGCCCAGACGGGAACAAAGTGCCCTTATATAGCACAATCAGCCAGAGAAATGGAGCCAAAAATTAGGAAGGTGCGTCGAAGAGAAACGCTCGTGTGGTGCTGACGGAGCCTTGCTCCAAAGAGGATCGGAGTGGAACAGAGATGCTTAGCAATACACCAGGTGATGTGTCTGCCAGGCAGGCCACCTGCGGAACGAGATGGGACCCCGAGGCAAGATTAAGCAACCTTTGGGGATCAGCGACACATTTGGACTTGGGAGAGCAGGTTTCTCCTCGCAAAGGGGCCACCTTGGGAGATTATCCACTTCACAAGAGGGCTGTCCCGACTCATAACCCCTACTGATGCAAACGAGCTTCTCCGATGTTTTCTGCCCTCCTTGCAGACCTGGGTGGAGAGGAGTCCAGAAGGGGCCATCACTCCTACTTCAACATGGTGACCGGCCGAGTGACACCTTGCTCCCAAACCCTTTGCCAGCTAAAGTCCCTTTCCAGTCAGGCTTAACTCCTGATGACTTCATGGGTATACCCATGTAGACTTGCCAGAAACTCAGAAAGGGTTCGGATGGGAGACCACCAGGAAAGGGCAGGTCCTTCCATTTGGGATGCTGAGAATCGATCCCAGAGGGCAACGGGGAGTCACTTGCATGCCGTCACCAGGAAAAGCACCGTGAAGTTAGACAAACCCATTTCTGGGCTTTCTCTGGATAGCCCCCACCGGTGGGCTTCACCATCCAGGATGGAGAGGACCTGGGCCTCCCTTGTCCAGGAGGTGTTGTGAAGACCAGGGGGAAACATCTGGCCCACAAACGTCCGCATCAGCAGCCTCTCTTGCACAGAACAGCAGTTCTGCATATGTCCACTCCTCTGCCCTTCCTCTTCCACCCCCCCCCCCCCCCCCCTCCCCT